CGATTGCTTCAACGACACCTAAATCTAGACATCTATCTAGCTAAAGTCCCTCGAAAGAAATTTCTTCTGACAAAACAGAAAGACTATGAGGGCACCGTATAAAACATTGTCCTACAGAATCTTCGTCGGTTTACTATGGTGGGGTTCAACAAGGCATCATAGTTGTGAATCTTAGATTACAATGTCAAAGTCGCAAGAAGAGTGGGAGTTGCTCGACCATCACGCTGCCGGGAACAGTGACGGTAGGAGTATGAACAAAAGCAAAAAGAACAGAGAAGGCTTATTGTTCGCCGTCATCTATCTATACCCAACCATATGTCCGGGTGCTGAATATTCGAATTCAAATTGGTCATGGAGCGTGCAAGGAGGAATGGGGTAGTTAAGAACAACGTGCAGTGTGATCACGAATGCTAACTTCAAATCGCCGGAGAACTCGCAATAAATCATCGGGCAGTGAGAAGTCTAGCCAGGCATATTGTTGTATCAGGTTCAATTACTAATGGTAGCAACTGCCACAAGCGCAAATACCATTCCATAATTGTGGTAGTTAATAATTAATCCTCGCTATGCCAGTTTTACCTATATATAAACAGAATTCAAGAGCGAAAATATGTCTTGTCCACAAGAAATTCAAACTTCGATGTCCTCGAGGATAAACTGTCTCCTTTAATAAGAGTGATGGCAGTAGACATACAAAAGGAGTAGTACTTTTTGTCCCTTAACCTATTTGCCTTAGCTGATGTTCAGGCATCAGCCTTAGATTGGTGTCCCACATCCTTGCCGAGGACGGCACAGGATGCATTCTAATTATGCATGAAAATTAGCATCTGAAATCTCCATACCAGGTACAGGTACCCACGAAAGTGTATTACCAAACGGCCTCAAACAATATACGGTGGAAAAAAATTACTAGCTATGCCCCTCTGATCAGTCCTGGTTTCTTGATACAGATTTATTCAGGATAGACAGCAAAGAATCATTCATTATTTTCAGTCTACCTTTCCGAAGTTCCTTCAAAATATTCCTACGAAAGAAATGAAGGGTTTATATTCCATTTTACATTGGTAGTGTGGAATATATTAGTAGTCGGCAGTGAAATTTTAGGAAGCTGGTCTTTGTGCAATAAGATAAATTGTTTGAAGAATATGCTAGCTTAAGAAGTCTACTAGATAAAACCTCAGAGGGTATGGTGTGGTACCGAACTCGTCAGAACACGTCTGCTTGTGAAACCTATGTGGTATAAATTACTTGACAGCTTAGAACCTAAGTATCCGAATGTCAACAAACTAATACTTTGCATTGCCAACTTAAAATGCGGATACAAGTAGAGGCGATGGCAGACGTTAATGTAATAATGGTAAGTAAGGAGGGGTAGAGAAACATCGACTAACCATTACCTTAACTGAAAAAGCATCCAAAATATCCCAAAATTTCGATGAAGTTCATCTGGTTTCGAGCAATTCGTGATGTACACGCCATGTGCAGTCCAGAGAACTAAAAAAGCAAACAATGTTATGAAGGACTATCGTACCTGCGGCTCCAATGCCCAATACAATGGAACTGAGGTATATTACCCAAGTAACTGGTTTAAAGAAAGACGCCAAAAATAATCTGAAGGAGTGA